TTTTTTGTGAACCCGCATTGCCGAATTATGGGCCCGGTTTTGACCCATGTGTTAGCCATCGTTTGCGAGTACAAGTGCCGTTTCCCATCTTAAACCAATGAAAGACGTGCATTAAAAGCTAACGTTCGCGCTCACCGTGTCCGTCTAGCCTGTTGGGGTCCCAATAGTATGCAACCTTTCTAGTTGTCGGCTCCAGAGTTTCGCACGATTTCTCAGAATAGAATGAATTATGTGGACAGCAGCCGCTACGGGGTGTTGCTTCGACGGCCGTGGCGGTTTCTGTGGTTTATTGGGCAAACTAGAATGCCCAGGTTGTGCGATGTGCAGTTTGGTACTAATGGTTATGCTTTACTTTTCAATATTTCTTGTGTTTTATTGTGTATTACTTACGTCTTATTGTTGTGACTTATGTGTTATTTCCTTCAGTTTTTTACGGCTTATTAGGATGTCTTATCACTATGAATTATATTGTATTGCTATTATTTATGTTTTGGGAATGATGGAGTGCCTCAATGTGTACATCTTGGAAATAGCCGAAATATTTGTCTCCATTTATCGGTAACGAAGCCCAATACAACATCGATAATATTAGGCCGGCACCGCATTTGGAATTCTTCCTGTGGGTGATATATATATATATATATATATATATATATATATATATATATATATATATGTGTGTGTGTGTGTGTGTGTGTGTGTGTGTGTGTGTGTGTGTGTGCAGGTGCGGGTGCGGGTGCGTGTGCGTGTGCGTGTGCGTGTGCGTGTGCGTGTGCGTGTGCGTGTGCGTGTGCGTGTGCGTGTGCGTGTGTGGTGTGTGTGTGTGTGTGTGTGTGTGTGTGTGTGTGTGTGTGTGTGCGCATATATATGGGCTTTTCCACCCAAGAATCCTGGAGGAAGTAAAAGTGCAATAGTTAAGTCGCAGGCAAGCTCCACCTTCGTATCTCATGAATTAACTCCTTGCAGAAGTTCTGATAGCGATCGACGGATTAATTTCAGCTAAGATACCCCAAGTTGACTTATATCACGTGACTAGTGACGTCGCATCTCACGCGAAATGTCTTAAACATGAATGCAACATTAAACAACGTCAGGCCCATCTAGCATCCATGATATTTAATATTTATTCAAGGTCAAGTGAAGGCCGTGCAATGCCAAGGTAGTGCCGAGTCAGTACCAGGTCAAGATCATGTGGGTTATAGGACATGCCACGGCAAAGGCAGGTCGGTTCATCGGATCTAAACGTCGTGCCCCTCTGTTTCACATGACTTATTGTACTTGCGTGTGTTACTCATGTTATAAATGGCATCTATGGCCTGATAAAGATCAGACACCCTTTCTTTTTTCTCGCGCTTTATCATGTTTCCCGCACCACTGTGTCTCTCCGGGGAAATTTGCATGCATCAGCGATGAGCGGGATTCAGCATCCTCTCCCTGGCGGGAGCCGGCACAAAGCCCGAAGACGGTCGGTGCCGGCGCGGTTTTATCCTCCGCAGCGGAGGATTCTGATATGCACGTGACGGCCTCCTCTCTCCTATATCTCACAACCCTGAGAGGGTCATTGTCAGGCTTATATATGCCGGGCAGACGAAGCTCAGTAGATAAAATGCTGTACACGTCTAGAAAAAACACCAGGTGCGCAATGAAGGCTGACTTTTTAGTTTACAGTACATATTTGGTGGCGGGTAATTGCAGGAAGCCTGGCGCTGAAGCTACATAGACAGATATATTTGAAATTTACGTAAGTCGTTCGGTGCATTGGCGAGGAACATTATTCACATGTATAAGACATACTACAACAAATTACATACTACAACAAATTAGGAAGGTAGGTAGGTAGGTAAGTAGGTAGACAAAAAAAACAAAAATATAACAAATTGTGTAGGTAGGTAGACAAATTTTACACCGTCCCGGCTCCTAGTGCGCGGCCTTTTGATTATGAGTCCGGCACGTGACAGACTGAAACGCTGAGACCATTGAGCATGTCGCGAAAACCAGAACGTTCACTGTCTGCTGTGCATTAGGGATTTGGCCTGTTGGGCGGAGGCACCTTGGCCTGTCTAGAGTAAGCATAGTCGATGGATCTGCGCAATATAATCAAACAATCTTTCGTTTGGTACTGGACTCTTCACAATTGGGATGCCACAATTCGTCGCATAGCTCCGTGAAAAGTAGGCCTTGAACAAGTGAACCCCATGGACAAGAGAAGTGCGCCATAGAGCGGCTGTGTATGACGAAATTCGGTGGGGCTGATGGATTGGGCTGTTTCACTGTAATAACAACTTAACCAGACCAAACCAAACAATCCGGACTAAACAAACCCAACCAGGACCTACTCTTATCACAATACGAATATGTTTCTTTCACGGGTGTCTGTTTTGCATATGGAAGAGCATAAGCGGTCGTGTATCACCTCAGTTAAAGAGTACTTTTGTCGCCTTGCGGGTGCATGAGACCACTTTGATGCCAATCATTGTGTTAAATGGCTCCTTGATATTTCCTCAAAATTACAAACCCGTCTTCAATTAAAAATACCGGATGGAGGGACGATTTGTCCGATCCTGCATTTCGGTTGTCGATGGAGGGTGATTATCGTTTACCTTAGTCACCTTGTTTGGACTGTATGCCATTGTTTCGTGCAATATTGCTAATTATGGTCCTTGCAATCATTGGGCTATTTATCATATTGGGTGTCTATATCAGTAAATACCCAGACGCTTTTGGAAGATTTGATGCCGACGTAATGGCGGCATGTTCGCCAGATCCGAATATTAGGCCAAGCATTCAAATCTACGAACGTGGATGCTTAGCTCTAGCCACAATCTAGCTGAATCTTTGTCGTCCAGGCGATCGAAGTTATGAGAGGGGGATACTGTCTCCACCGTCAAGGCAATGCCCAGCTGGCTTCATGCTCACCATGTTCACCGCTGCACTGGATTTGGCTTAAGACGGTCGCGGATGATTCGGGTGGTCTGGACTGAAATGGTGGGTAAGAGTGATGCGGTTCATTGGAGCTGACGAGACGCGCCACGCACGACGTCCACGGCTTATCATGCTGGCGAGGCACTATGCTGATGTTATGAAACGTATCGGATGGCTCATGGCACGCTCCAATGCCATGACAAAAACGTCCGGATTAAGTACAAATTTGGGAATGTTAGGCTTGTCACGTTTGCAGCCCTATGGTATATGCAAAGTAGCCCTAGAGCCTCATGGTATGTCACGTTCGTAGCCATAGTGTATGCAAAATGGCTCTACAGCCCTATGGTATGTCACGTTTGCAGTCCTATGTGAGAGCAAGCATTAAACCCTCATGAGCAACTATTACGCTGGTATTACGCTTGCGATAAACTATTACGCATCAAGGCTCGCCTAATATTGTTATCCATACAAGGAGGAGGGTATGAGCGCACTGGCTACTAAGGCCATTTTATTCATACAAGTCTGACAAGAATAACAACAATATGGCAAAATATATAGCAACAACATAATGAAATACATAGCAACAATATGGCAACATATATAGCAACAATATGGCAACATATATAGCAACAATATGGCAACATATATAGCAACAATACAATGAAATACATAGCAACAATACAATGAAATACATAGCAACAATATGGACAATGATAGCAATCGCGACAATATAAGAGTGTATTGGTGACAAATATGATCGCGTTAAAGTCAGCTCATATTGGTAGATTCCATCTTGTGCCCGTTTTTAGTCAACATACATGTAATGATGTTCTCACTGAATGGTTTGAGGACTCAGTTGGGGAAGTTAAACTCTCGACGTTAAGTGATGATCCGAGGTTATAATGTTGCATAAAGGCGTAACAATGGACGATATCACCCAACTAATAAGGCCGCATGTGTTATTGAATTCACGCGACAGTCCATGCTCACCTGTTGACAAGCATCCAAAGACAACTAGCCTGCTCGTCGTCTCTTTGCGGTAAGAGAGAGCAAACTAGCATCACGCGTTGTATAGGTGTAATGAGGTGGTTGCAATAGGAAGAGTGCAATTGGATCAGTCTTCGTCAATCATCGACCAGCTTCGCTTCGACCAACCAGCTTGAACGGTCCAACGAATGCGCAGCTCGTTGGGCGGCGATGCTTTGGCTCAGCTGACGACCCGACCTAGTTTATGACGCGTACCGAAGCTCAAGAGATCGTATTGCCGCTGAACTGGATGCTGAGAGTGATGTATTGTTGTTGAAACGGGGTATGATAGCCTACCGTAGTATTTCATTCCCAACTGTACTGAAGAAATAGCTTTGGAGCGGGTGAATGCTCCCTAAATTAATTGTGTTAATAAAAATATTTATTTGATAACGGTCATCGGGGACCAACAAAGAAGGCTCTCGAAAATAGTCATTTCAAATAACAATTTAAGCTCCTGCAGAAGAATACGGGAAAGGAGAATACCTAGGGTCACAACCTAAGCCGGCCATACCTAATGTAGATACGTACATGTTCGGCCATTTTTTTTCGTCTGAAAATTGTTACTGTCAGTGTAAGTGGTCCAAAGGTCAAGCAAAATACTTTGACTCGTTTTACGACACATTCAGATGTAATCATTTGGCGTCTAAGTTACACGCCGATCTTAGCCTCGCCTGTTTCGCCGTTTTTCATAACGCGGACTGATGCTGGGGTCGATGCGCCCCCTTATGGTGTTTCCAAATGATAACAATAGAGCTTAGTTTACTACGTCAGTGGATTGGTCTTGACATTGTCTCGCGATTGTTACTAGTATTTATGCTGTTAGCTCAATAATTGGTCCCATTTTGTCATGTCCAGTTTCCCAGAAACTCGTACTTTTTCAGCTCGGCATCATGCTTTGGAAACGATGCCTTGTGGCGGCACGAAATCTTAACAGGCGCGTTCCTTGTTCAGTTCCGAATACAACGAGATTACTTTGAGAGGCGGGCCGAGCTCCGCCAACCTCGCCGCTGGTCGCTGCGGACTGTTGACCGTTGTCGTCCCTTCGTCAGCTTCGGCATGAACCACGACGGCCCGGGCAACGGCTGCGACCAGCCTGACGGGCATCAGCAGCACGTCATGGCGCCCAACCTGGTCAACGACGTCACCCCTGTCGTGTGGTCTAAGTGCTCCAGGCGCGAAATCACCAAGTTCCTTGAGTGAGTGCCCGCGCGGCGCGGCGTATTTGCCCGGCGAGCTGTGATGGCTGGCGCTTATATGCGGCGCGAGACACTCACTGCTACGGCCGGCAGGATTTATGGAAGAACGAAGGCCCCACGGGGATGTGCTTTGCGAATAGCGTGTGGGGAGGCCGCGCCATCGGCCCCTGTGGGTGTTTCCTGTAATGGCAGTGTCTCAAGTGCGGGAACGCCCCGGCGATCGATCTCTTCGCCGGGCGACTGTCATCAGCGCGCCACAACCTGAAGCCACAACTCGTGGGCTTCCTTTTCGTGGGCGGCGGTAAGGGGGACGAATTCCGGGAAGCTTCGTGTGACCCTGAAGACAAAGGCAGCGCTGGAGGGCGCAGCGTCTGACTGGCGCTCGCCGCCGGATTCTGGGATGTGCCGCGCTCGCGTTCGATTCTGGGACGTGCACTGGTGGCCGACAGGCCCGCCGCTCTGGTGGTCGACTCCGGACAAAGCCCGTGTTCCGGGTCGAGGCGCGCGTTTGGCAGCGACGCTGCTGGCGGCGCTCGCCCCCTCCCCCGGGCTCCGTCGGGCCGTGACGCCCGGCCTCAGCAACTCGGAGTTCAGACGCGGCCAGGTCACGGGCCAGGTCAGCCCGAGGCGTGCCGGTCGGCGCGATTGTGTCACGAGGCGTGATGACCCTCTTGAGAGCCCTTGCCGCCGCAGCTGCGGCTAATATGGCTGGCCGGCCGCGGCCACGAGATGGGCACTGTTAGAGATTGGCCGCTGAGGGTCATTCTGAACGCGCTGTCACGTCGTCGGCAGTCACGGATCCAGTGGAGGCGCGGCCTGGGTATGCCAGACACGTGGGCCGACCTGAAAGGCCGCCGGCGCTGAAGGGGAAACACGCTGGCCAGAGAGAGTGGTCCACCCCGAGCTCCATTATTATTTGAAAGGATTAGAGGGACTGGGGCTGTTGGAACTTCCGGGTGAGTAAGCCTCTTGTGCTCGGAGTTGGGAAGCTATATCTTGGTTCTCCCTGATCCTTTTCCTATCACTGTCGTCTTAACTGACTGAAGCGCAGGTGACTGGGAATGGGGCGTCTATATTTCAGCGCACCGCTCGGATTCCGGTGTAACATCCGCGCACGGAAGAAATAACGACTGAAAAGCTTCGGCATCTTCTTGTAAAAGACTAAGCCAACTTGCGACGCGGTCATCCAAAGAAGCGCGCGCTGCCATTTGACCTGGGTTGGCCCCGTGCTGTCCTGGGTATCTGGTTCGTTGGCTCGGTAATGCAACACATCATGTGCATTACCCGAGCGGGGAACTCGCATAACTATGGTTATGCTACTAAAACATGGAAGCGACGCAGCATAATGCTGATATATATATAGCTGTAGCTGAAGTGAATCCGATTTGTATTGTGTGGAACGACGGACATTTTCTGGCCGTTTCTGACGGGGCCGTTTCTGGGGTCAGAGTCAGCCCGGTTCTCCTAACATAGAAACGGCCGTCTCGTCTCTTTCCTCTTGTGATCGCCGCAAACCAGGGGTGATTGTCAACCAACAACGATTTGTTTTAATTTGATTGGGATATCTGCTGCAAGTCCTGCATTGTTACAAGCTCAAATCATATTCGCAACTGTTGCCGTTGCGCCCTCAAATGTTGACCCGTTTTGCTCCAACAAAAATAACATCAAACGTAAAGAGTACTGCAAATACATGCCAAACAATTCTTGGGTCTTCGCTACGACTACTATGCTCATATTTCCTTGGCTTTAACGACAAAAGGCATGAGGCCTTACCATTTGCAAACATGGCATATGGATATGTACCGCTGAGCGTGAAGAACATTGTGGGGACGGAAGGAAGACGAATACGTATTCAGAACTTTATCACCGGTGGTCCCTGCGGTTATTATATTCTCTCATCTTGCTGCCCGACATCGGTAAAGTTTTGAACCTCGGCTGCGTCCTATTATTGTTGTGACGTGGTTTGCCGCTCCACCTGGCCGTGCTCTGCAGCGCCAGCAGCGGTCTGGTCGCTGCAGTCATCCATTACATGATTATAACTGACGCCAACTGCTTTCAGCCGTGACTGGGGACACTGCCTGGATGACCAGCCCACCGACCATGAGTATAGCTACCCCCAGGTAACGGTGGACGGGACGCTTGTTCCGCGGTGAATATTTTGCCTCGCAAGTACTGATATTTGGAAACCTTCCTTGGGAGAAAGGCACGATTTTGACGAAGCACGCTTTCTTTCTAACTCTGTTTTGCTTTACTTCGTTTTAGTCGGCCTGCTCCCTCCAAAAATTAAAGATGGGAGCTCTTTATCTTTTGGTTCGTTGTCTTTCACTTACACTTTCCCCGTCGTTACACAGTATTTCAGTCAAGTGCGATGAGTGAGCCCAGTCACTCCCTGCAGTTGGAGACACAGATGGCCGCTTCTGCCAGTGTTGTCTGACTGTGACCTTTACCCCAAGCTCTGTCGGAAAGCGACACCAGCCGAGTAGCTCCCATGCACTACTATGTTAATTTACCTATTTGGCAGCCTATCACATTCGCCTCCGGTCGTAATGTGGCACAAGCGGTAATGCTTCGAATGCTGGGAAAGGGCAACGACAATCCAAATACAGCAACGTTCAATCTGAGCCTTGACCTCGACATGACCGCTGACCTGGCGACTGCCGGCAGGTGCCGCCGGGAGCCCTTTACAACGCCGACCACCAGTGCAAGCTACTTTACGGTCCGGCCGCCTCCCACTGCGATATGGGCAACGTGTGCGAGACGCTGTGGTGCCGCGTGCAGGGTCGCTGCGTGACGGAGCTGGAGCCCGCCGCCGAGGGGACCAGGTGCACGCCGCTGGACGGCGGCCCGCTGGCCAACATCAGCACGGTTGGTGATGCTCATGATCCTCGGCCGGTGAAGGTGTGCATGCTCCATCTAGGCGCTCTGAATGTATGTACGCACACGAGATTGTATGGCGGACAAGCCAGTCGGCGGTTGGATGCTGTCTGCAGACGCGGGCGGATTCCCTAGTGGGCTAGGGGATCATGTTGGGAAAGAAAGTGCGTGTTTGTTACTGGCACTGCCAGGGCCCTGTTCATGCGCCGCGCGCGCCGTGAACGAAAAATCTGGCTTTGTCCCCTGTTCAGTGGCTACACGCGACGCGCGCTCGCAGTACTGGCCGGTCCGTTCAAATTTCGGTTTTGTTCACGGTGTTGCCCGTCGCATTTGTCGAGAGAGGTTTTACCGGTTGTACTCGTTCATATGACAATGTGCTCATTTTATTGACTTCCAAAGTGGGAACGCATAAAATGACATTTCCATTTGGGTTTTAAAATGGCACACTATGGCACAGAAGCAATCTGGAGGATGTGGGAAGAGTTACTTGGCTAGAGATATATGAGAGAAACCTTATGACCATGATCTCAGCCTAAAATGGATAGGTGAATAAACGAGGACTTTGTGGCGATCACGTCATTCGCTTCACCCATATGGGTGCAGCCATATTATTTCTGCGGGCGTCGCGGCTGCTCCTGACCGTACGTACTGCACGCAGGTACCTCAGTGCAAATTAAAGGGATGCCGCTTTAGATAGCACGATTTCTGTGCTAACTAAATGTGCTCCTCGATACGTCATTGCTTGATTATGTCATCATACTTAACGCCATCGTACTTTACCTGTAAACGAATATCATAGTGTCTTTGCAAGCACGTGTTTGTCACGACAGCTGGGAAGATGTAAACAGAAAGCGTGCCACGGTACGAACACGTCCGGCAAAGATTCTTCTTGACGTCATGTAGAATAGAACATTCTTGGTGCGCTGGGAATACACCCCAAATCTTGTTAACTTTTTTCCACCAGTCAGTATTTGCGCGAGCGTCGCGCGCGCAGCAAATGCACAGGGCCCTGGTATTGCAGACTAGGATGAGCGCTCTTCTGTCAGCTATATGTTGATGCTGCGGTGGAGCCTGACAGCGCCAGCCTGTCTGACGTGGCTGCGCCCGCGCCCTCCGTGCGCTGCAGTGGTGCTCAGCCGGCGACTGTGTGGAGATGCGCAGCCGGCCGCGCGCCGTGGACGGCCGCTGGGGCGACTGGGGCGCCTGGGGCGCCTGCAGCCGCTCCTGCGGCACCGGCGTGCAGAGTTCGGTGCGCCACTGCGACCAGCCGGTGCCGGCCAACGGCGGCAAGTACTGCGTCGGCGAGAGGCGCCGCTACCGCACCTGCTCGGCTGAGGTACATGCTGCTGGCGCTGATGCCGGCCACCGCACGCCCGACCGGCGGTGTCGCGGGATCGGGCTCGGGTTGGTGCTGGCGGTGATGGTGTGGGCCGATCGGCGGTGTCGCGGGATCGGGCTCGGGTTGGTGCTGGCGGTGATGGTGTGGGCCGATCGGCGGTGTCGCGGGATCGGGCTCGGGTTGGTGCTGGCGGTGATGGTGTGGGCGACCGGCGGTGTCGCGGGATCGGGCTCGGGTTGGTGCTAGCGGTGATGGTGTGGGAGCGCTCATGGACTTCATTCGAGTCACTGGGGCTGTGGTTTATTGCGATCGATGGTCGACTGATAAAGGTCACGTTGTGATGATACGGCTGCTTAGTCAGAGCACTGCGCTCCTCCACTTTTGGGAGCAATTGAGTTGTATGCGATCTATTTACTACCCTTTGCTTTTGCGGGTCATATGTGATGCATTTCTGGTTGTATGGGGTCATCAGATCGGTAACTTCATCTCAGTAGTCCAGCTGTACTATTGGCATTGGCAAATGCATTCTTGGAATTAACGTGGCGTTCCTCCTCATCCGTACAATGCACTTCACGGGATATATGGAGTTGGGTAACACCTGACTAACCTATGACCTACGGCTTTGATATCTATAACAGCTGGGACTATGGCCTGCATTCTGCCTAAGCGCCGTACTATTGTGTGGAGACTTCTTACACTTGTTGAAGCAAGTTACAGGTCCGTAACTCTGCACTGCAATGACTTCAATGCCGCTGATTTTAGAGCGGGTCGTACTACTGGCTCACCAATGACCCTGATGCTTTGCCCTAAGATAGGCGCTCTTGCTCTAGCTAGTTAGGCGTACTTGTGTCGCCTCGCGACTGTACCAGGATCGCCAGCGCTTGTCTGGGAGATCGCCCCCGCTGAGAGGCCGATTTCTTCGCTCAAGATGTTGCCAACAACGTTATGGACCGGTGTTGACCACTGTCAATGTCTTCTCACTGGGCCGCAGGCGTGTCCGGAGGAAGGTGTCACGTTTCGGGCGCAGCAGTGCGCCGCGTTTGACTCCGTGCCGTACCAGGGCCAGAACTATACCTGGACGCCCGTCTACGACCATGGTGAGCCGAAGGAGGCGGAAATAGACGTCCGTGCTCTGGCCCTGCCATCCACTCAGCAGACCAAATTTGAAGTCAGCCAGTCATTCATCCAGACGCTGTGAAAAAGGGCGTCGTAGTCGGGATCTTAACAGAATCTGAACGGGGTCGACAGCTCTGCTGGAGCTGTTTCCAGAGATCGCCGCACCCAGCCCACCCTACCCATCTCGCGTCAGCTGATCGTGTGAAGCCGGCGCTCGCAGACTGCCCCATGTAGCGGTGCCGGGCCTGTAACTTGCGGCCCTGTGCACGCCGGCGGCGGTGACCTGTGACATGGTGCCTGACATGTAACCTGGTGATCTGACCTGTGGCATGGTGATCTGACCCATGATCCGGTGACATGACTTGTGACCTGGTGACCTGACCTATGACCTGATGACTTGATAACCTTATTTGCGACTGGTGACCTTATCTGTGACCTGGTGACCTGAGCCGTGCATGTTGACCTGACTGGTGACCTGACCTGTGACCTGGTGGTCTGACTTGTGACGTGGCGACCTGACCTGTGACCTAATGACCTGACCGACCTGCCCCCGTCCGGTAGCGGTACCCTGCCAGCTCACCTGCCGGCCGACCGAGCGACACTTCACAGCCGTGCTCTCCGACACGGTGGCCGACGGCACGCCGTGCCGGCTCGGCACGCACGACATCTGTATCAACGGCAAGTGCATGGTGAGTGTGACCGGCGACGGCAGCCGCGCCCGGCGTCAGGGCCCCCGGCCATTGGGAATTTCACGCTGTCCAGTAAGAAACCCATATTGACAGCGTGAGTGTGTGAAGCTTCCAGCCTTTGTTCTGGTCTTCTTCGGGAGGCTGGAAAGGTCCATGAATGAAGGTCCATCAGGTCCAAGGAGTGAGAGAAGGTCCATCAGGTCCACGAGTGGTCCGGCCACAGCGCCTTGCCGCAATTAGTTCCGTAATGACATTGCTGGCTTTTTACGTCTTCCGCGAAGGTAGCGCAAGCAGAAAATCTCACTGGACGTGTGTCTTCCATCTGTTATCTTAATAATCCCTGAGGAAGCCAGCATTATTTCATTATGGAAATGTCGCTGGCACAGTGGTCGGGCCACTCAGAGACGTAGCGTCGGCCGCAGGTCTCGAGCAAGTGAATGGGAGCGTTGTGCTTTCTACGCACTTCATGGGAAATCACCCATCTTCTCTTAAAGGGAATGTCCGCAATGACTGATGTTTTCTACCAAGCTTTGTCTTGTTTAGCTTGGAAACAGCAGCGTCCCATTGAACCCCCCCCCCCCCCCTCATGAGTTCGCGTTATGAAAAACGGCGAAAAAGGGCAAGCGTCAAATGAATGATTTGGTTTTGGCAGAAAGAGCTTCTGGGTGGTATGTATGGACACAGATACGCATACAGGCACATATTAATTTCCGCGCTCATTGGTGAGTGTATTCAAGTGCAATATTCCACAATGAATATGTAATATATAAGCACAATATCAGGTCCAAAATACAATAGATAATGGATAAGGTGTAAATGAAAAGCTAAAAAAATGGTCAGTAGTTTCCTGCAATAGTCGTTCTTCAATGTATGAATGCATTATGTTTTGTATTTTTTCAAATATTTTATGAAGGATAAGTAAGGTACAAAATATTTTGACAAGGAAACGATTGCGTGCACGCAATTTCATCGACATGCAATAGGTAAACCACATGTATCTATCTAGGAGCATATTAGGTCTGACTATCAGCAATGTGCATCGGTTGAGTACGCTGGATGCTAGCTGCTCCATTATTGTTAACACCGGTGCTATGAGGATCAAGGCGGGTTTTAACGATCGTGCATTCAAGGATCAGTCATCTTGGATCATATTAAGGTTTGTAAGCGCTTCAAGCCCTCAAAGTAAGGTAAGCAAGCCCTGTGAGTGCTGTAAGTAGGCCCTGTAAATGTTGCATACTTATGAAATGAGTCGCTGCAGGCATATAGAAGTTCGGTCTGTTGCGTCTGCGTCAAAAATGCCACCAAATGTTTGAAATAAGTTTTGAAAAGTTTCAGTAGGAAGGTATCTTGCGTCAGATTTGTCATTAAAAACATGAATTTACTTATAGCCAGGAAACGGTAACGTTATCTACTCATGCACATTTACAAACATGTTTTTAGATCTATGCAAAACATTTATAGCCAAAAATCGCTGATAAAGGATTAGTGAGTAACAAATAAACGTTGAAAAGTTTTTGAAAAGTTTTAAAAAGATCATACCACCGGCTAATGGCTACGGCTAGCTTGTCTATATGTTACAAGCGCTCTCTGACACTATTTTCAGTTTCACTTAATCTTCACATTCCAGCCATTGCTCGCATGTTCTTGTATTGTCTGTTGGGTTTCTAACTGGCCTTAAGCATTGACATTGGTCGCCATTCTAAAGCCAGCGAACTTGAGCCGTTCCCGCCTTATCTGTTGGTCGCAGAGGCAGTAGATGATCCCATTGACCGGGCGTCGAAAAGACCGTCTTGAATAGACGGTGTGGGCAGCACCTATCGCTCCCTGTTTATGAGATGCTGTGTAGCTAGTTGATTGAGACAGTTGTTAAGTTAGAATGTGGTGCGCTGCGGTATTGCTTCCCGGTGCCTTCTGCTCTAGCCTGAAATAGTTGGAAAAGTAGGGTGCCAGCAATAATGGGCAATAGAATGCGGTCGCGGAGACGCTGGTGGCAGAATGAATGTGTCTCCGTAGTACAAAATGTAAAGCTCACCTTTGTAACTGCACCGTATTGCACTACCGTGTTGCATTGATAGCATGACATGTTCGCACCGTTACTCTGTGCGCTAGCAGCGTGACACGTTATGTCGTTACATGCCCCTCTGCCAGAGAGCGGCACGGAGGCCTTACCGTGACAATCTGTGTTAAGACGATGCTCTGTGTGTCTGTGCTCAAACGCATGCCTCTGTTTCAAGTTTCAGTCACGAATCGTGTTTTGTTTGACACAATGCAAGAAGCTGGACATGGTTCCTAGATATTACGAAAATAAGACGTACTGTAATAACTTCAGAATAGCGCCCTACCTGAGTACGTGAACACAAATAAACGTCCTAAGCCCGCGGATAAACATGCGAGAGACTCACGAGAAAGGACCAAAACACGACCACATAACGATGCGTGGATCAGCAATAACCTCCAGCACCGTCCCCGCCACTTCTCAGGGGATTAGCGACAAGGGAGTGCTGGAGCTGAAATTTCGCACGGGCAGTTTGGCAGACCTCCAACACTGTTCGAACGTCCTATGACGCAATCAAACAATGACTTAGTGATGAGCCTATTTATTAAATAGATAAACTGTGATGCCTAGATCGGTCTTTTCCATCCACAAATATACAAATAATTAAAATCTAGCTTATTTCAACTTATCTGATGCTTGTTCCAACACCTTCAAATGTGAACATCCCCTTTATAGGGAATGTTTAACATGTAAAGATATTGAAGCAGGCATCGGATATAATTAAACAAGTTCACTTTTGAAGTGGAAAGGAGTGTTCCAGACAGCACAATTCTCTGCTTGGTAAATATGCTTCCCATTGCGTCACGGTTTGGTTAGGCCATCCTACCTTGCACAACCTTGATTGAGCCAATTGAAGGCCGTTATATCTGGAGATCGCTCTCGCGAACGTCAGGTATGAACGCTTCGATAATTATAACCTTTGGCCTTGTTTGCCGCATGGCTTGTGGAATGGCAAGGTTTGAGTGCTGACATTATAACGCCATGAATGCCAACGTGACTTTGAAATACTCCCCCGATATACCTTCTCCATTTTCGCGGGTGTGGAGCGCAGAAACTAGAGACCGTTAGGTCTTAGAAGGGCGTGATTATGGACAGGAACGAAAGGTTTTCAGGATGGCTATTTCAGTTCAGGACCCCATATAACAGTGGAACACTCCCTTTCACATTTTGCCATATTCTCATCACGCCATATTCTTTCACATACTGTTTTTGCACAAGTGGAAGATGCAACGGGCTGTTACAACTTGTCAATGGGTGGTCAGGTTTTTTGTCTTAGCGTTAGGAGATTGTCTTTACTACGCTATTGCGCTTTTTCTACTTTTGAATTGTTTTAAGTTACCCTCTAGAGCATATTGGTGATTTTACAAGATCTGTGATGCACTTCGCATTTTGAGGCAAGTGGAGCGAAGAAGGAAAGCACAAAACAAACCATTAACAAACATCGCGGTGGCTGGTTGAATGCGACGAGCTCGTGTGGGTGAGGGGGTTATTTGGCCCCATAACGGTAAGAGATCTAGACAAACCAAATTCACATGACATATAGACATGTATTTGAGCTCACTCACCTCAATTCATTGTGTTCCTAGATCATAATCTTCAGGTCATGTTAGATCAAACAACGTTAAGCTCCAAATTGTTGGCCGAATTGCCCTCAAACCTCATCCAACCAGCTTTACCTTACATACCGCTTCAATGCAAAAGTCCATTGGTGTAAATTTCACCTAGGTGACCTTATTTCACGTTCATAAGGTCGCCTTTTCTGTTATATTTTCTGTCACTTTCACTTTATTTCTGTACTTCTGCTGCTGACAACTGTGAGATGCCGCGTCCGTGTAGTGATCCATTCTGACGACCTGTCCTAGCGTCCCACCCACTGCGGTGCCCTGTTCCGGCGCTGTTGTCCACTGTGACGTTCTGTCCCGGCGCTGTTGTCCATTGTGACCCCTGTCCCGGTGCTGTTGTCCACTGCGACGTTCTGTCCCGGCGCTGTTGTCCATTGTGACCCCTGTCCCGGCGCTGTTGTCCACTGTGACGGCCTGTCCCGGCGCTGTTGTCCACGGTGACGGCCTGTCCCGGCGCTGTTGTCCACGGTGACGGCCTGTCCCGGCGCTGTTGTCCACGGTGACGGCCTGTCCCGGCGCTGTTGTCCACGGTGACGGCCTGTCCCGGCGCTGTTGTCCACGGTGACGGCCTGTCCCGGCGCTGTTGTCCACGGTGACGGCCTGTCCCGGCGCTGTTGTCCACGGTGACGGCCTGTCCCGGCGCTGTTGTCCACTGTGATGGCCTGTCCCGGCGCTGTTGTCCATTCTAACGCCCTGTCCCGGCGCTGTTATCCTCTGTGACCCCTGCCCCGGTGCTGTTGTCCACTGTGACCCCTGCCCCAGCGCGGCGGGACGCTGTGACGCCCTGTGACTGAAGTGTGCCGTCTGCAGGGCATCGGCTGTGACGGAGTGCTGGCGTCGGAGGCGAGGGCTGACCGCTGCGGCATGTGCCACGGCAACGGCAGCCTCTGTAACACCGTCAGGGACACCTTCACCGCTAAGGGAGACGGTAGGTGGGCGGTCATCACCGCTGGATAGCGCGTCCGTTAGTTGCCCGGGTGCGGACTGGCCTGGGTAGGCGCGATGTCCTGTGTTTGCCCTTTTCAATGCCACTGCCGGTAACTGTTGGCATAAGACTGTTGAGTGTTGAGCTCTTTTGTGCGAGTGTTGAGTGGTGAGCCCTAGGGCTTGTGGTGCTTGGTTGGTTTGGCATGCCTATGTGGAGGTTACCCGAAAGTGTTTTTATCACAGCTTTAAAAAAAATTCATTAACGCATAAGTGATGGCAACTGACGATTCGCCGTACTTGTTTATGTTGTAATTGATATGACCCAGCTAAACTTGCACGCTCAAAATACGCAACGCATATTTATGATGTGCTGAAGTTAAAACTACTAGGTCGTTCCTCCTTCCACATGATAAGACCTGGCTTGCAAAAATGGTTTGCTCTACGCCGGTTCATATCATCCGCATGTTATCGTAGAAGTAAACTATACTATAGTGCTTTACTATAACGCATGTATAGACAAGTATATATATATATATATATATACATGTATACACGTTTCCACTCTATATGCCGGTTATGCCGGTTATATGGCTGGTGTCATAATTACTCCCCGTTTTGTTCAGGGCATGTCGTCGTTGGGATACCATCAGTAGTCTGTATTATCGTTGTGTCTGATATCTCCGCGTCTTCTTCAGGATATGTGGTCGTCGCCGGCGTGCCAGCTGGCGCTCGCAACATCAAGGTAGAGGAGGAAGCTGGGGCAGAAGACGGAAGTTTTCTGGCCGTCACTGGTACCAAGGACGATTCCGATTACCTGAACGCCAACTGGTAAGCCACGGCGCACGGGCCTGGCCGTGTCTACCGCCATGACGTTTTATGGTTCCTCTAACAGCAGTTTAAAAACATCTTGCAAAACGCTTGCAACGATGCACGTTTGCCTGTTCGTCAGCTGCATTTTGGGACCTTGACGATGCTACAGAGTACCACATATTGTGCCGCCAAATGAAGTGACCCCCCCCCCCCCCCCGGCCGCCCATTGTCTATCGGCTTTGCGGTCGGCTGAAGAGCCAGCGTGGGACGTCAGGTGCAACACAGTACATTGTCTAGAGTGGCAGCAATATCGGGGTGACCCCAGGGGAGCTAGCTCTCACCGCCGCTCACGTGGTCAGTGACGTTTAGGCACTCAGAAGTTCAGATAATTACGTCAAGAACGTCGACGACGATATGGCTATTTGTGCCACCCCGCTGAGATTCCTCAGAACGGAAATGCTCGTCCAAGTAGTTTGGATGAACTTAGACCCAAATGTTCACATTGAATGCCTTTATGCCAACAGAAGTCCCTCAGGTCTCTCCAGGCTTTGTCAATGCCGCAAGGTTTGCGATCGGCACGCAACCCAAGACATCAAAACTGGCTGTCGGGGTATTATTTCCGTACCGTAGGTAACTCCAGTAAGAGTTATCTTCAGCCAGCACGTCAATAAGACGACCAGAAGGCGCGGACCGAGAGTACCGCGCACTCTACGCTATGGACGGTTTTACCTACCTCCCAGGCACATTGGGGCCTAATCAACGAAGTTCCGGCAGCTCATTAAATACCTACATACGCTTAGTGCAGATCAGAGCGCGATCCTCATTCCAGAGGGACCTCGCATGTTTCAAGTGACTGATGAGCAGAACTGGGTCTTGTGTGAAGCACAAACATCGGCTGACAGCTGGAGAGTCTGTCAGTGTGTCAGTGGCAGGACCACCGCGGCATCTCACGTCGCAGCGCGACAAAATCCCTGGTTGCCGTGTTCGGCATTGAAGTAAACCAGCATGCTTCAAGGGGAGCGTTACACATTTGTATAGGGTTCTGAGCTGAGATAGCCAATTTAAAGACCATTGAGTGCAGTTCACAGTCCTGTCCTTTTTAGGCTTAAAACCCTCTGGCTGCTGAGTTTGACGTTCGTGAACTTGTGCGGACTCTTTCATGCGGATTATTTCAAGGTCATCCATGCATTAAGACGCCATAGAAACATCACACGAATGCCGCGACCTCGTTGGCCAAGACCGCAAAAAGTTACCCTCGAGATATTCGTGTCCGGCGCACATCAGCATGGTTTCCGACACCGAGGACTTCAATTGGCTTTGGACCGGACCAATGTGTTCGTTTCGTACTAGTTTCGAACACGAATCACGTTCGTTACATCATAAGCATCATTAAGGACTCATATGAATGCCAAGAATGCGTGTTCTTGTCCTTTGACAAATACAAACAAGCCGGATTGCATAACAGCATTTGTAGTTGTCATGACATACACGTCATTTTCCTAGCTCATGCTCTTATAATAGAATGATAGTAAACATTTGTGTAGAGGTATGTGTTCAAATCAAAAACTCGCGCAACAAAAATAAGCTCGAAGTAAATTGTTCATGGTGCTTTAGTCACTTTGCTGTGTCATTGACGCACGTACCTTTACATAGAGGAGGCCAAAGAATTGCAAAAACAAGCACCGCACAGGATACCTGTTACCGAGGTCACATAAACTTTGCAGCGCACACTTGAAAGCGCACGTGTTATTATGTTAAGCTCGGCGTTGTGACGTAATGGCGTATGGCACGTTCGCCTGGGCCTCGTTTATGCCGCATCATTAACTTATTCACAACAAAATGCCCGGGCTGGATTCGCTCAATCTGAGTCGTAATCAGCTCGACTTCATGTAATATACAGCATGTAAGAGCAAGGCAAAACGAGCGAATCAAACCGCTCGTTAGCTTAAGCTACCAATAGCAAGCCATACCTTTTCAATTCGAAATGGTTCGACTACGCTAAATCGTATTGCTGACGGCGACACCACAGTCCACTTATTTTCATCTGTACCGCTTTATATCCCCTCGACGTCCTTGAGAAGTGCACTTACGTCCAATGCACTCCGACTGGCTTGTGGGGAACATCGTCGTTGCCTGGGTCTGTTGATGTCAAGTTCAATAATGATGTCGATTTGTGGATCGTCCGTCATCACCAGGAAACTGGCAAACTACCGGTCATGCTTATTTTCGACCTATCGTTCTTCCTGGCTATACGTGTCAATGGGAAGTGACAATGACTCAATCACATCCCCTCCACGAGCCAGCACTGTTTGTACTGAAGATGGCACATAGTGCCATTGACGGAGTGATCAACTAAGTCGTCTGCGCGGTGTATTGCTTGTGCTCCTGAGTGTCGACCCGTGATGATAAAGCCAGGGCGGAGAGAATATCGGTTATCTTGAAAAGAGCCTCGGAATCACACAGTACTTGCTGAGTTTGCTGACATTTAGGAGTGTTCGGCGCGCAGAGCCGCCGTCGTTTGACGTGACGATTTTCTCTGATATCGGCCGATCTACCACCGAGCTCATCCTCTCTCCTAAACGTCTTTGTGCCATGTGTTTAGAAGCCACCGGCCAGGTCTTGACTGGCGGTCACATGATACACGGATGACGCACTCGAAAACAGCAATCCAAACACGCGTCGTCGAGGGACCAGACTGATAGTCTCCGTGCGTGCGGTGCGAGCTGATAACGTGTCCAGGCCATTCGTCTCCCTCCGTGTTGCTCCGCACACAGAGTGAGACACAATGCTCTTGGCGTCAGAGCCGCGCCACCGCCGGGAAGAAGGCGCAAAGGAAATCAGCGGGTGCGATTTCCATGTACATTCGTTTGATACGAAAAGAGACGATGTGCGTTGGACAAATGGGACAATCGCGTCCAAGTTTAGCCTGATAAACGACTTCATATGATAGATCATATGAAGTCCATCGGGCGCACTATTGGTCACATCCCAGCACCGTTACGACTTTGTCCGACGCACTTTGGGTCATGACCTCTCTCTTGACTGAACTGTCGGCTATGTTGCCAGGTTTGTCCAGTGGAGTGGAGAGTACCGTGCCGGCGGCACTCTGCTCTTCTACTTCCGCGAAGATCAAAACGAGACCATCTTCATCCCTGGCCCCCTGAAGGAACCAATCGTTCTCAAGGTCAGAACGCCCGAGACCTGCGATGAAGTTCCGAATGTGTTTCGATGCGACCGCTGATTGTAATGGGATATCGGGCAAGTGAAAATTTGTTAACATAGATTATGATTTATCTAGTTGGAAAGCATGCTTGCACGCTCGGCTGGGCAGACGAGTAGATCCTTCAAACCATACAACGTGGGGCTGTTGCCGGATAGAAACGCACTTGTCGTCACAAGACTGGCGCGTTGATAGGAAGGTCGATTCTGAGAGACTTCGTTCAGTTTGCAGAAGCGTATGAAAGAGACGTGAAGGGATGTAAATAAAACGTGAATATGTAATGCATTGCCAGGCATTGCCATCTTAGCACATGCGTGGCCATCGCTTTTGCTTTAACCATCTGTGGGAAGAGGGTCGCATCATGCATCTCTTCTACCCTGTTACGCATACTGGCCCGAACCATTGCACTTTACGATGATGCTGTATGTTCAAGGTGGGGGAGGGGAGACGCGTGCTCCTGTCCCTCATCTTCCTTGTGTCCATGCCGGCCGAACATCTTCATAACTCCATCTTGTCTACCAAGCTGTCGTATGCAGCGACATAGCGCATCAGCCGACTTTACCGAATTGCAATATTGCACGATTGAAATTACATACACGATGCCTAGGATTGTTGCTGTTGGAAAGCTGTGCCTAGCAAGGTCAGTACGCCTGCTGGACTTAACGTGGAGTGGCCCCATCCATTGTACTTGTTTTGGTGAGGAGCCCGGCCCGCCCCTGTTCTCGAGACCGCTCAAGCCGCGCGTTGGCTGCCCCCAGGCACTGCTGCAGGACAGCAGCACTCGGGTGCGGTTCGAGTACACGGTGCCTGGCCACGAGGGTGCTGAGGCAGCGCAGGTGTTCTCGTGGAGGTACCAGGAGTGGTCCGAGTGTTCTGTCCACTGCGGTGGCGGCCGACAGGTAAGCGCTCGGCTCTGCGTGCCCGGCCATCTATGGGATTCGCTTGCTGTATTTGTGCGCGATGGCGTTGTGCGCGCAAGGTTTGGGAGCGGTGGGCTTTTCGAAACGCGTTTTTGAAATGGCGAGACATCACATTGTGGCAACAGAAATGCTGTGAAGCATGGCAGTCATTTGTTATGCTCTGCAGATTTCGGGTATCTTCAGGTATCATCATTATGCCGTTATCCACTGTCCATGATTATGATATAATGCGAAGGCTGTGTCCACGTGTCCACAAGATGGAGGTTCCGTGCAGCAAACAGTTTTTACATTTTAATTTTTAACGTTAGTCAAAGCACACAGTCGCTATGATTTATTTTACCTATGCGATACTACAGAATGGCCCAAACTTTGAAACCGGAATTCAGTGGCACATGCATTTGATTTGTTTGCTGCACTCGCCCATTTCAAACGTGCGAAGCTCTGCGATGTACACTTACATATCGCAAAAATCCGTTTATAGTGAGTGTTTTGTGTGATATAGATGCAGCGGTCACTCAATAACTAATCAGCATTGCTTGACCTGAGTGGTACCATTATGTAGCAGGTCCGTAGATTATACTTGGTAGATGTGCGGAGTCATTGCATCGTAGTGATTTTCTGCAACCTTGTGGAAGATGAAATCCGTACCTGTCTGACTCTGTCCACATTCTTTCAAAAGAATCCTGTTGCATTGTACCCGTTAATATCACTGTAGTCCGCCTCCGCGTTTGTTGTTTTGGTTATCCACTCAGCCTCGGCGTCCCTCTGCCTCCTTCAGGTAGCTGGTTCCGTTCGTGCGTAACCTTCACGTGGTCCGCGTTGTAGTGGACCCGCTCCACTGTTCTATGTCATGTTCAGAGTGTGAGAAGGGTGTCTTCATGGTCCGTCGAACTGACCAGAACCTATTCAGCTGCGTCCGGGGAACCAGCGCGGCGTGCCGCAATCCACTGGGCATTAGGTCCCATGGGGCTGCGGGGCTTCGTCGAATGAGCTGTGGAAGAGCGGAGCTGAATGACTCCCTCCGTTCTTTGGCTGCTCCCAGCCGACCTGGTGCGGCCGTAATTGAACGTCCGTGGTGCGATTCACTTGCTGATGCCAGGTTTACGTACACCATCAACAAGCGGACCCTCAGACTACTCATTGTGGGTTGCGGTGCTAGCTTGATTTCTTAAACCTTCGCTCCGATTCGCCTTTTCCATAATCTTGAATGATAAGGGGGTCGATGTGGCCCCCCTGCGGTTTCCAAACCAAGAAAGATGGAGCCTCACCAAGAAGCGGCTTTCTTGCATCGAGATGTGATGATTGGTGATAACTTTTGTAATGTTAGGCCAGTGACAATTTCATTGTACCTGGTCAAAGTTTAATCGTCCTTGAAAATCGCACTGTTTTAGCTTTTCATGTTGTTAATATGTACGAAACCTTGCCACGCAGCCACTTGTAGCTTACACTGGTATATTTATTGTTTAATTTTGTACACATTGCTATGCAGTTGTCTTATGGTGTAGAACTCCGTTCGTGCATCAGATCGGACCTCCGCGCGCTCTCAGCGGGTTCGCCGGTTACCACCGACGCTCAAGCCGGCCGTGGATCATCGTGCAGTGTCCTTACAAAGGCGTCGGCACTTGGAAACCAGAAATGCTAGAGATACGTCCTTAGTGCCTAAACCCATAAATGCCGCATAGGCTTTCGAGCATTTGGGCGCGATTACATGGCATACTGGGTGGACATCCTCAGAAAATCTGAGGAGGTCGCATTGCGCCCCCTCCCCTTTCCTGTTTGGACGAATGTTAAGGATAAAATGAATGTATAAAATCAAGCTTCAGTGGTGGAAGGGGTTTTTATGTGCATATGCGTGTCCGCGTAACCCCTTTCACAGCCAAGTTCCACAGTAAATAAGTTTCGCTACCCATTGTTCCATCAATCTCTCCGTGGTGACTTGTTACACCTGCTGTGCCACACTGGTTCATATATTCTGCAGGCCGTAGCTAAGAGCGCTGCGCTTGGCTTGCAACCGGACCCGTGCAAGGCGAGCACAGCACAGAAGTCCGTGCTGTCCAGTTAGCTGTCGGCCCCGTTTTCAGACGTCTGACGCGGTCTGCATGGAGGACGAGGCAGGCCGGGTGGAGGACATCTACTGCTCCACCGACCGGCCAGAGACCAGGTCCAGACCCTGCAACACGGAGGACTGTCCTGCCCGGTACGGCCCAGTGTGGCAGGCGTGATGTGGCGTGGCGCTCGAACCAACGCTCGTGAACAAGAGCTTCGTAATGCATGGAAAAGGTTGTAAGGAAAGTTTTTCATTTTGTAATGTGTGAAGTTCTCAGTAAGTAATGTTCGTAAAGGATGTGACTCGCTCGTTTAAGAAGGGGTACGTAAAGGAGTTTGATAGCATAAGGTTCGTCACAAGAAATGTTCGTAATGGAAAAGTTTGTAAACAAGGACCCATAAGCTTACAAAATTTGAAGATATCCGGCACTGCTGAACTAATCCCAATCCCTCATGGCTTTACCTTATCACGCGATATATATATATATATATATATATATATATATATATATATATATATATATATATATATTGAAGAACGTGGTCGAGGCGGCCTATTGGTTTGGGCTGCCACTGCCGCGGCAAATCTTAGGGATCGTGGCAGAATTTGCATTAGTCAGGTAGGGCATTACTCTTAAGATGAACTGTTAAACCTGGGATGTGGCCATTGTAGTCGGTGCGCTCCTAATCCAACTCGTTATCATCGTCAACTGTTTCTGGGACCGATATTGATCAACGTGATTTACGGGTTTCCATTAATGACCGCCTGTTGTTCAACTCATCAATATTTCTCATCCCCTGCTCTTTCGACGCTCCGGTCGAAATATGTTTGAGAAGTTGTTTCCCTTTGAGATCTGTCCATATCGCAAAATTCGAAAAAGTATTCCTTGAAGGCGACTTCCGTGGTCCTGGATATTGAAACTGGACCCGTAAACTGGCACCACTGGGTATGGGTCTCAGAACGGGCTCGTTGTTCGCGCCGACTGACACGAAAAGGTCAGCTGGCAACTGGCCGGAGTGCATCAGTCTAGTGCGGGACGACAGTCGGTAACATTGCGCTGTGCGTGTGAAACACTCCATGGCTCTCCGTGGCAAAAGGCCGGAAACAAAATATCTGATCTATTATTGTCAGCCTACGGCGTCCTGGGTATGCCTAGTTAGAACTGATCGCCTTGAAACCATGTGAGGATAAAACGTGTTACCTGAGTGACACGGGCGCTTTGATTTCGAGTTCACCTTTCAGCTAGATTTCAACAGCTGGCGGGCCATAATCTCGGAAAGGCCGTCGCGTTTTGAGGTTGGAATGGAGCATCCTGCCAGTATCAGTCCCAGTCGCAGTCGTGGGAGCTGAGAAGCGACCAGCGAGTGCTTTTCTCAACATGTATTCAAATTTACCAGCGCGCGATGCATTCAGGCCGGCTCGGTGCATGTTCGTACATTGCCGTACGTGGCGCATATTTGCACATCCCCGCTCTTGGTGCATGCTCGCACACCACCGCTCTCCCCACCCCTCCGTACTCGGCGCACGTTTGCGCATCCCTTCACGCAGCACGTGTTGACACATCCCTTCACGCAGCACATGTTGGCGCATCCCTTCACGCGGCACATGTTCTCACATCCCCTCACTCGCCCGCACGACACGCCACGTCTTTGGCAAGGTCATTGATGTGACTGGTCCGTTTTTCTCTGCCTCCAGCGCGCGGTCTATTATTGGGAGCCAGCGCCTCTCTGCTCATTTGACACCCCTGGTTGGATCGGCCGGGAAAGCGGGAACTTGTGGCGCTAGCCATATGGTGCGTCTGGTGAAATTGACCACAGACACTAACGGGTTTGAAGAGTGTGATCAGGGCTCACCCTTGTTGAAAGGAGTGTGCCATCTTCGGGCCTTTTTCAAAAACATTCTCAGTGGAGCCTCCGGACTAGCTACGTCTTATGAAAGCGCTGGGAAGTGCAACTGCAGCGCTATCAAGACGTAATGAGGATATTTATTTGTATTAGCCGCCACTGTCGTCTAGGGGGAATATGCTGGACTCGTAATCCAGCGGCACTAGGTATGAATCCCAGAGCGGGCGCATCGTTTGACCCGACGGAAATGAGCTGGCAACTGGCTGGCAATGAGAGAAAAGGTCGGCTGGCAACTGGCCAACAAGTGTCAACCCAGGCCCGGGACGGTAGTGTCGCAGCATTGTGCGGCAAGTAAAACCATCCGCATTCCTGTCTGGCTCAAGGGTGGAGGCAAGATTATCCGTTGAACTGGGCGGTGCCAATTGAGTGGTGGGTTCACGATGCACGCAACAAGCTATGCTTAGCAGGTACTATGAACCCAGTCACCCATGCAAACCATTCGGAATAAATTTATTTTTAGAAAATTGTTTTCAAGTCCAAAGTACGCTGTCAGCGCATTGTATCAACACTTTGCCTCTTCCCTGCAGTCGCGACCACCGTCGTCATGACAACCACCGAGCCCACCTCTACTGACACGAATAAAATAACGCTTGCGATTGGCCCATGAGGCAAGGGCCTGTTACGGAAAAGTTGGCTGATTGACGTTTGAACCAGTGCGTTACAGGCAGTGCAGGCCGAGGGGTGGGGGCACAGGGCACGCGCCTGCGTGCTGATTAGGGACTCACCGTGTCGATAAGGGTTTACATTTCGGTCAGACGCCAACAGTAACGCACATTCGGCTCCGTGACGGCATCGGCCTAAGGCCTCATTTCCCAGACAGGAGCCAGCGATTTACATTGGTCGGGGCCGCAGCGCACGTCGCTGTCAGCGCACGACAGCGTCTAACGGGGGCCCTGTGTTGGCAAGGGGCCCGAGTCTTCTAGAGGCAGAGTTTGAGGAGGCCCGAGGGGCCTGGAAGGCCCACTGGGTCCGATGATCAAGGACAGTCAGGGGAGTGGAGGTTGTGAGGTCTGTGGGCTACTACCTGCTAATCATGAGAAGAAATTGACACTTCTGTCATTATGACACAACCACATGTTGTGGCATGATGACGGGAGTGTCAATTCACTATGTTGTGATAGTGATGAAGGCTTCACCAGGTATGTTTTGCAGTTCATTGTTAGCAAAAACAAAAATAAATAAACGACATTTGCATCCATGCAAATATCATACTCACAAGCGCAAAGAAAATGTGCATATGAATGCGCTCTGCAGTGTGACTCAGTTCCAGAGCTTTCCTGTTGCAGTAGGGGTGCTATAATCAGCAGTCAACATTGTCCTCAAAGAGCACCAGATGCTAATCTTTCTCCGAACTCCCAGGGCAGTTGGACCACAATAACGCACAATAACCTTCTGCTACTTGCGGTGAGACTCTCGATAAGAAAGGAGATTGCGATGGAACCTGTACTCCCCTTCCTCTACCTTTCCATGACTTACATTTGCTACCCCACCTCACTCTTCACTTCTCATTGCCTTCCCATTGTCTACGTCATTGGCTATCGTATAAATGTCTGGCAACCAAGATTCATGTAAGCAAAAGCTTAAATGGTGAACAATTGTTTTAATGTTAACGAGACATTGATGACTTAGCTGCATTTCAAGCGAGGACATAATTTTTGAAGATAGGTTGGGGAAAGCACTGCAAAATAATCTAGTCTACCCATAAAATTAGCTGTCTTCCTGATTGGCACCCTTTTCAACAACTCGGGGATGCTTGTAACCCTGAACTGAAAATAAATATAGATACACCCCTGATTTGTAAACTTCTCTGACTTGCAACCATCCGCAATCAGGACAAGAGCAAAAATGGCATGAACTGGCTTTTAAGAACCTTTCGCACCTCTTATCATTCGTTTTCATGAGAAGCGTCATCAGATTACAACATCAAACCCATGGTGCTTTTCAAAGGGAGAAAGGCTGGCTGCTTTTGATTGAGTAAAAGCAGTGAGTAAAAGGCCTTTTTGATGCATCGAAATGTCGGCCTGGGTAAAACAGGTCAATTTCTACCTTGATCGGATCATCTCGTCGACTTACTCTCAATATGCATGTCGTTGCTGTGGACAGGATACAGAATCGCGGTACTACCAACGAAGAAGACGGGGCCCAGAAATCCGGCCCTAGGCAGGCATTCGTGACACTGCAATGGAAATGCCGCTTGTGAAGCCGCAGTGTATTGAAAGTTAAAAATAATCTCCCGCTTCATATCAGCCGCAACGGAACGATTGAAGGGTGCCCTTGCGACCAGTTGAATCCTCGTATCTAGGTATTTTTCCAATCTGTCATACTGTCTAGTTTGGGGCACGACAGTCGGCTGAAAAAAAACGAATCGGCCGGCCAACCGCGTCGTAGGAAATGCACTGGTTTATCGTCCTATGTCGCCGAGTGGAGCGACCAACTGATATCATAGGATATTTTTGTCGTCGGGTGCGGATGAAACCTTATTGAGATACATGGTGCGGTAGGCTGTGGTAAAGAGTCTTTGCGGAAAGGTTTGCTTGTGTTGTGTGATGAAATGTGTTAGTATGCACGCATAATGTCTATGTGTGGGGACCTTTTGTTAGGCGTTGCAGAGTGTGGTGTACTTTCTTGTCTTGGCCGTCACAAAAGTGTTCTGCGTAAAGCATTTTGGTAACATTTTTTGCGTAAAAATATGATGTTTGCCGCAGACCTTCTCCACCAAGTCGGCACACCTTGCCACCTCTGGTCGGCTACTTCCGATAGAAATTCTGAGATGTTCAGGAGCATTTCCAGACAGCTGGTATTATTGATGACATTTTACACGTCTGATGTAACATTAGGTGGAAAGTAAAAAAAATATGTGAAGTTGAAATGCCCTTTAAGGCTGAAAAATGTCCTTTAAGGCTGCAATCGATATCATGTAACACCATGAGTGACGTCAGACCAAACATCTTACTTTAGTTTAGACCACTACTCGTTTAACTGCAGTACACTGTTTTTATAGTTGTGACTGTCCAGGTCGGGTACTAGGCACCTATTCCACTCACGTCTCGCTCAAACCCGCCAAATTGTGTTTGTCAGTCGCAGCTTAGTTGTGATTCAAGAGACTGGTCGGTTTCTTGCGTCTTGGTGTTTTGTTCCAGGTTGGGGGATGAATACTGTGAGATAAACCATCCAATAACCTTGCCGTTGACGATTTATTACCACATACGACGAAGCAAGGAAGTAGCCGGGTGATCTGTGGGCATG